TTAAAGAAAAACGCTTTTTACCGGATTAAAGTTATGTTTATTATTATAAATTTACAACTATTTGACATAATTTTAAATTTATCCGACGTTTCGCGTGCTTTACAGCGTGACGGTGACGGCAATTTATAATAATAAACATAACTTTAATCCGGTAAAAGCTTTTTTCTTTAAATGTGTAAAGGTTATGTTAATCAAAGACAATACTAATGATTATTTGCGTGAAACATTATAATTAATGTTAATTTGATAATATAATAATATATTTGAATAATGTGATGATATAGTGTTAAAATAATATTAGAATTGACTATAATGCTTACTCATGTAACTTCTATGTAAAACTCCTTTAAAGACAAATTTGCACGCCATTATGTGTAGCAGAATATGCGAATTTTAAATTGTACCACCATAACCATTTTTGTACCATATTGTTGCAAATAAATTATTATTTTTATTAAAACAACATATTAAACCGGGGTTTATTGTCACACTGGACTCAACTCGACTCCAATTTATATGTGTTTTCTATCGCAGAATAAATAATTAAATAAAATCTTGTTTTTTTAATGAGTTCTCGCTATTGGCCTAAAGGTCCTGGACAGCCCAGCTTGGTCTGTTTTGGCGAGGTTGAGTTTGGTAGTTTGACCTCGAGACTCGGACCTTGGCTTGGGCCGTCCTTCAATCGGCTCAAGGGCAGGACGGAAGGTCAAAAAGTACGAAGTACCACGCCTTAGCCAGAGAAGGCGGTTCTTTACTTTAGTTCTTAAGTCTGAACAGGAGAAAAAAGGAAAATATTTATAAGTAATTCCCGCCGGTGAAGTCCCGTTAGGAAAGTCTAATGTTAGCTATTGATTTGCTCCAGTTCAAACAATTGGCATGACAATACTTGGCGATTAAAAAGAGTGGCGGACAGTTTCTTGCCAGTTCTTCTTACCCGCTCTACGCCCTTGACTTGCGAACTGGTAATAAATGTAATATTACAATTAATTTAACTTCTTTCTGACAATTCATAAGTGTATTTGGCTACCTACATGAATAAAGATATTTTGAGTTTGAAAGTAATTCAATAGACTGGTTATTTAAATATAAATATTGGGGTTTCCCCTATATACTCGTAATAGAATTGATAGTTCAAAGGTAACTCCCCGCCGGTATAGTCCCTCTAGGAATGTCCCTAGGTCACCCAGTTTAAAAATCAACATTAGAACATACAGGGTATAGGTGAAGCGTTCTGTATTTCTTAGAATACGCAAAATAAAATAAATGTTTATCATTTAATTGCTTTTGTAAATATTTAATTTACTATGGCGAGTAAAAATAAAGAAAACCGAACTGTTTCTTATAATTTCTGTTATCTTAATAATTAGCTTATTTATTCAGCCCATAATAACGTACTAATAGCACAGGTCTTTGTGTTTTTAGGATTTATAGTTAAAAACTAAAGTAATTTGAAGTGTCAATACGAAACTTGTTTGTACAGATTATCATTTGTTTGTACGCAAAATTGTCATTTGACAAATATCACAACGCTTTATTTGGCCATTTAATCGATCCAAATACTTATTCTGTAGTACAAAAGTGTTTCTATAGTTTAGGAAAAAGGATTTAGGAATTTTTGAAGTGAAACTTCTTTATCGGGGTTGGAAAAAATTTAGTGTAACATTTTTGCGTTACGCGTCACATTTTTCGTTACGCGCCATGTTGCTTTTTGAAGTCAAACTTCTTTATCGGCGTTAAAATATGACATATAGTATGTTTTTGACTTTGAAGTTTGACAACGGATTACATTTTTGAAGTCAAACTTCTTTATCGGCGTTAAAATATGACATATAGTATGTTTTTGACTTTGAAGTTTGACAACGGATTACATTTACGACTTGTAATTTGCTAATCGCAATTTGCAGCAATTAATTTGTAAATTGGCAAAAAGGCAGTGTATCAAAATTTACTGTGTTTAAAGAAATAGTTTCTAATAAAGGTCATAAAGAAGTTTCACTTCTTACGTGCGTACACCTAGTACACGCACACATTTTTATAATAGGAAAAAGGTTTTATATTTTTAACGAATAGACTCAAATTCATTTAAAAGATCGCTATTAAAGTCTTTCTCCCTGAGGAACATAGGCTTTATTCCAAAAATATTAAAAATAAATGCGGTATAACGCCGGGCCGTTTTCATTATAGTCAACATCATAAATTGTGAAAGAATTTAATTCTAAGCCGGAATTGATTTATAGTATCTCGACTTTGTATAACATGTGGCTACTATCATTGTGTGATATATTGTCTTCCATATGACATAATAAACGTGTAATATAAAGTGCATTGCATAAAAAGATTACATTTAATAGAATCAGTGATTCTTCTTCCACGTTCTACTGTTTTCTCAGTTGGTGCATGACACTAAATTATTATAGACAATAATGAGACGAGTTGCATAAATTGGTTGGAGCGCTCCAAAAAGTAATTGACTGTAAACGAACGTGACTGTCTAACGTAAACTACGCCGCGGCTTTTTTTTGAAGTAAAACTTCTTGAGGGTAAAATTTTTACAGATGGAATGCAGTAATAATAATATTAGCGTCACGAAGATGTGCAGCGTTTTTGTCGAAGAAAAGGGAGAGAGCGATTGAGACCGATTGCGAGAGAGTGAGAAGGGCGAATTATAGAAATTGTATTTCTAAAATTAAAATTTCGCAAAGAGAATTTATTAAATATTAGTTTTTTTATATTTTATGCAAAATAATTAATTTAAATCTCAAATGACGAATTGTAAATTAAAATGCCACGTGTTTTTATTATCGAAGAAAAAAATTGAAAATAATTAATAATTTGTAGGTTTAATACCTACACACACTTAATATTTATTTATCGACACTTAATATTTTGACAATTAAATTATTATTTTTATTTTTTTAATTCATTAAATTCCCAATATATCTTCCGCCGCGGGGTGGTCAATTGCCTGAAGGGCTGGACGGAACCTCACTGGAGTGAACAAAGTACAAAGTAATGCGGGCGCGGCATAATATAGTTCAACATATATTGTTGCTTTGTCCCGATTTAATGACGTTATTAGTAATTTCTTACAGAAAATTATTTCAAAATGTTTTTCCGTGTAAAAATTTCAAATAAAAGTACGAAATGATATGCCCGCCCCCCTCGCCTGAAATGATTATCACAAAATCATGTTTAAGAGTATTATTAGTAGGTGTTTACGCATATAGAGTGTTGCTGTCTAGTGCTAACGTTGTCGAGAACGTATAACTATCTGTGGCTACGTGACTTATCAGTATCTATATTTAAGTGTTTTCGCTTAGCGTTTGTTGTTGCATACATTATAATCTGTATTAAATGGTGAAATGCACGAAAAAACCAAGAAATAAAAAGCACCAAGTATTTCGCAAGAACTGCGACAAACTATAGAGAAATAGAAGTTGCTCAAATAACTACCTACTCAACAGTTCTAGATGGAGGCTGCGCCTTTTTTAGGCTAGTTTTCAAATAAGAGTTTAATAAAATATTTCTATCCAGTTATAATAAATAAAAGATGTATGTGGACGTGAGCACGAATATATATTACACAGTACTCATAAATTAGAAAAAAAGATAAAGATATGTTATATAGCGTCATTAATTTATCATAATAAACAGTAGATTTTGATTTGTAAAAGCTGATATAAATTTAACATTAATAGAAATTATTACTACAGCTGTTTTTACAATTCACCTCTCGTTGCAAACATAGTAAATGGAATACACAGACACGTTGTTCATACATAACTATTATTAAAGATTTAACATATTCCGAGAACTATACCCAGTCATATTTGCATAACATTTAAGATTCTGCGTGGAAACTGGTTCCATTTCTGTCATTCACAATATGTAAATGTTTTGAATTGGGTATATAATATATTCAGGAATATTGTAATGTTTTTGGTAATTTTAAATAACGTTTCCGGTTGATTTTTATAAGTTCTAACCTGTATTATATTACAACATAGCAAGCTAGTAAAGAAAAAGCAAAATAAAAAATACAAAAAAATAAAAACTAAAACTAAATAGAAATTTTAACATCATTAAAAGCATGATAAACAAACTTACGGTAGTTTGGAAGATTGTTGTAAAATATATCAATATTTTCATCAATGTTAGTAATCAAGTTGTAAGAGCGAGATAGCTTATTCACTGGGGAATTAAAAGTAGCAGTTAAGCGAGCCGTAGGTCCGCATAGTTCTAGTAACTCTAGGAATACAAAGAAAGGATAATTTTGCAAGAAGTTTAGTATGCAAAAAAAAATGTGTGCGTGTACCAGGTGTACACACGTAAGAAGTGAAACTTCTTTATGACCTTATTAGAAACTATTTCTTTAAACACAGTAAATTTTGATACACTGCCTAGCATACAATTTACAAATTAATTGCTGCAAATTGCGATTAGCAAATTTCAAGTCGAAAATGTAATCCGTTGTCAAACTTCAAAGTCAAAAACATACTATATGTCATATTTTAACGCCGATAAAGAAGTTTGACTTCGAAAATGTAATCCGTTGTCAAACTTCAAAGTCAAAAACATAACATATGTCATATTTTAACGCCGAACTTAAAGAAGTTTGACTTCAAAAAGCAACATGGCGCGTAACGGAAAAATGTGACGCGTAACGCAAAAATGTTACACTAAATTTTTTTCCAACCCCGATAAAGAAGTTTCACTTCAATAAACTAGGTCAATGAAGTCACGTCGGAGTTTTAGAGTATCTAACTTGAAAAAGTCCAAACGAGCCTCGTACGTTTGCAATATACCACGAAAGTGTAGTTGTATTTCTCATTAGTATTTCTTGCGTAATTAAACAAAAGAATCGTTTATTTTGCGTGAAGATTTTGTTGGTTTAGCTGTGGTCAAGTCTGAACGATGAAGTGTTCTTTGAATGATATTTTTCATCTTCTTGGAATTTGTGACTCTTTGTGTTTGATTTAAAAGGGATGGGAATATTACAATTACACGACGTTTCTAGAAGGTTGATATGGCAGCTTCTTGCAAGACATCTTCTGAAATGTACGAAAAAGTGTTTATATAATAAAAGTAGTTTTCTTTCAGGGATAAGAATAACAAGAGGTGCAAAGTAGAAGGCAGGTAGAAGGAGACCTGGCCGCACGCACGTCCTGGTTGAAAAACTTAAGACAATGGTATGGTCAAAGCACCAAGTCATTGTTTAGAAGCGCGGCATCCAAAATTAAACTAGCCATGATGATCGATGATCCAACCTTCGCAAGGAGATGGCACTATAAGAAGAAGAAGAGGTGCAAAGTCGAGTTCAGAGAATATAATAATATTCACTATAGTACAATAGGAAGAGTAACAATCGTTGTCTGTCAAGTGGACATTAAAACAGCTGAAGCAGAAATTTCAATAGGTCGATTAAATCGTTAGAATCACAAATCGTGCGTGTCGTTCGAAAATAACAGACCACCTCAGTGCGCGTGGGCAGAGATATTACTAGTATTTGCCGGTCTAATTTCGTATATAAAATCCTGCTATGGATAGTAGCCTGGATACATACAATATTCCAATGAATGGAACCAGGGAGGATTTAGTGGGTATTGCTAACTCTGGTAACTCTTTAATCAAGTCAAGTCAAAAATCAATTATTCGTAGGTAACACAATGTACACTTATGAACGGTTTAAAACAAATATACATTAAATGCTTCTAATTTTACATTTACTGCCAGTTCTCAAATCAAGGGCGTAGAACGGAAGAGAAGAACTGGCAATAAACTCTCCGGCACTCTTTTTAATCGCCATTTTTTTTTACACAACGTTTGTAAGGAGCTGCAACCTTTACACTATGTTTCACGTGAAATCTTAATTAATAAATAATTATAATATATTTAAAAACAAAGATTTGTCCTCTATCAGCAGGAGGCATGGTGAAATAGGAGCACGCACTTACATTCTCGTGGGACCAACACGCAAATACATAGTCGAAATAACTAACATCACCGCATACACGAATTAAAGTACGACCAGTCACCACAAGTAGCACCCGTTCACGAGTATGACGCATGGCCAGCCATCGGCTCCCTCGCCATATTTTAGGGAGAGAGACAACCCGATGAATGAACGCCGCCACAAGCATAAGAATTATAGGAGTCATAGGGAAAGATTCAAGAGTAGAGACTTTTACAGAAGTGTAACACTACTATTTTTTTGTGGGTCTTTTTTGTTTCCTCGAAAAATAAAGAAATATATAAGGGTTAAATTCTGTACCCAGGGTTTTCAGCGTTATGATTTTCATATCATATTTAATTTGAGAGAAAACTGTCGCCAATGAAATACTTTATGATTTTGCTTTAATTACCTACATAACCCAGTGATGCCAAATCCGACAGAATGTTCCCCCTAAGACCAACTTCAAATACCCCTAAAACCACTAAAGTTATTATAGTACTCTGAGTTTGAGAGGTAATTTCAAATATGCATTAATAGTAAGTATAACATTTATTAGAGCAGAGTTGGCCTAGCGGCTTCAGCGTGCGAATTTCATCCCTGAGGTCGTAGGTTCGATCCCCGGCTGTGCTCCAATGGACTTTCTTACTATGTGCGCATTTAACACTGGAAAACATCGTGAGGAAACCGGCGTGCCTTAGTCTGTTTTTTTCTATCTTGCCCATTTAACAAAACTTAGATCAATAATGTCATATAAATTATTATTATTATCAATTATAAAAATTACGACCATAACTAATTTAGTTTTGTATTTACTTATGTTTTGAAATAAATTTGATATATTTAAATCTGTTGTCTAAACACATTGTTACAAATTGTATGTCTGCGAGTGTATTTCCCATTTTATACATTTCATATATTTTTTTGTTACGATTGTTTTGTTCTCACGCTGAATTGTCTATTAGCACTTTTTAAATTGGTTCTAAAATGCTACTTAAACATGTGATTTATGCCTCGTTTAAATTCCGTTTCAAATTAATTTCTATATCGCTACTTATGGCAGACATGATTTTTCATCCGAAATCCGAGTTTAATTAACAACATAAAAACTTAAGGAATATATTTCGCGCGTTTTTACTTTGACAGAGGTTTTTTTTATTTGCACGTATATTGTTTTGACAGCCAGTAACGTTTTCATTAAATGGTCAACCTCTTTGGTGAATTCAATATTTACTAACAATATCCACATTCCAAATTTAAAACTTTCAATACCTTTAAATCCCAAGATTTAAAAGGACTAAATTAATAAAATAATTGCACTTAACAATTACAGTAGGGGCCTCATAGCCTAGCGGTCTTATTAAGGTAGAATTAGGACACAGTACCGATAATTTATTTTCTTGGTTCAAATAGTTTAATTCATTTATAGTTTGCATTTTTAATTTTTATGCTTGTTTGTATTTAACACTGTTTTTTGTATCTACTTGATTTCGCTGGTCGTGTCCACATGTTATAGGGACGGCACCGCTTTTGATATTTATGTATGTATGTCAATTTATATCATGTGTTTGTCCTAATTTTGTGGTCCAAAAAAAAATTTAAAAAAAAATTAAGTGGCAGCTAGGTGAGGGGTACCGGGTTCGATTCCCGGTTCGAGGGCAAGTTTTAATTAATTTTAAATTTGTTCTCGGCCTTTGGGAGGGTTGTGCGGTACCGGGCGAGTGCTTAAACCGTACATGGAGGACACGGTCGAATTTTCTAAGGCAAGCACCAATTATAAAAAATCTTATACTTGACGCTGGCTAAAAGAAAAAAATAAAGGAAAAAAAAACCAATTACAGTCATTAGATTTAATATGCGCAGAATCTTTACATACAACCACAGACAGGACATTAAATTATGTATTAATTTACCAATTTAGTGAAGAAAATGTTATTTACATAAAACATTTTAATTGTTTTATGTTAATAGACTTGCATTCTCTAATATTAATAATTTTGTCTTAAGTTTCGCCTGGAAATCCGCATTTATAATTTAATGTTATTTTTATAGCTCGTTAGCAACAATATTTGTCTATTTTCTAAATATCTCTACTTTTCTTATCGTTTTAGCAAAACAGGTTCTTAGAGTTAATTAGATTTTTATGGTTCTTTCGTTGACTTATTATTTTTAAAATATTAACATGGAATTTGATTTGAGTAGAACCGCTTTAGCTGTTTATCTGTGTGTGTAGTGCCGAGGTCACACAAAGATGCCACTTTATTGCAATAAATGAATCTATTACATTATTATTATTATTATTAATAATTAATAATAAACTTGACAATAAGCATAAAGCTAGGTATTATACTGAGAGACTGGTGCTTGAAAAAGGTTGGGAAAACCTGTTATTACAAGTCACCAGTCCCTCTTGAATATAGTGGCAAAAAGTATTGCTAATACAAGTTTTAAAAACGAACGAACAATAAATAATTTATAAAAATATATAAAAAATATATAAAAAAAAAAAAAATTGATAGAAAAAAGTTAAAGCATTTGTGTGTGTGTTGTGTGTGTGTGTGAGTGTACGGGTCAGTGTGAGTGCGTGTGTGTGTGCGAGTGAGCTAAATTGAGACTAGTGTGGGCGAGAAAAACGTTCCATTTATTAAATTAAATTAGGGGTCGTAATAGATTTTCTGTGCTTTAGTAATCTAGCGATTTGAGATATTTAGTTACAAAATTTTTACAATTGTATTTTGTGAGATGATAAATTTGAAGGTCTTTGTTAAGTTTATTGTATAAATGGGTACCTAGAAATTAAATTTAAAATATTACTAAAAGTTTAAATTTAAATTCAAAAGAAAATTACTATACTTTTAATTGAAATGACAATCTTGAAGATTTCCTATGTACGTTATAATTTTAATTGTTGTAAATATTTAAATTTCATTGACACAAACTATATTATTATTAACACTGGAATTTTTCATTTTTTTTTATAGAACGGGGGGCAAACGCGCAGGAGGCTCAGCTGATGTTAAGTGATACCGCCGCCCATGCACACTCTCAATGCCAGAGGGCTCGCGAGTGCGTTGCCGGCCTTTTAAACTGTTATTTCCAACACACAAATATACAGTATTTACAATACTCGTAACGTACATAGTAATAATAAGTAAAAATTTATAAATGAAAAATTAAACAAATTGAAAAAGTTTGTTCCCTGTGGCAGGGTTTAGTGCTTGCTTTCCTCGCTGTATTGCGATACTTATTCGTTGAGCGAGGAAAGCACCAGCGCTGGGGTCACCGGTACTATCTACCAGGTGCCTACATAACTCTATTATTTATGTTTAGATTTGAATATCTGTATTAAATAACTTACCTTGCACGTGAACAGTGCGTTCTGCCAAGTAGCTTTGTTTTCGCTGAAGAAATAGCAGCTATGACCCAATCTGATGAACATTGGCGGACAGATATACGACATTCTTGTGGAATTCTTGCCTTCAACACCTTTACCTGAAATTATATACACGATTAATTAAGAGCACTCATCGTAGATTTTATCTAAGTATGTGATGGTTGAATTAAAAACAATAAATATGTATTGATCCTTTATAATTTCAATGGTTGACTCTAATTAAAAATAAAATACGATATAAATTCCTCGCTACAGAAAAAAATACGTGTATGTACTTATCTACACGCGTTAGAAGTTATACTTCGCTGGCGTAACAAGATAAAAATCTTTTCAACGATTTTATTCTACGTTTGTAGAAAAAACAACACTAACAATAGAAAAAACTAAAATCTTGACTATAGCTAACTTCAGGGTGTCGGTTTTTTGTGACGTTGTGCGCGCGAATCGAAAAAAAATTATTCTCAAAAATTTTCCCTAACGCGCCAAAAGAAGTATAACTTAAAAAACACAAAGTCACCTCCAATTTTGTCTAATTTCGTTTTTACTCAATCATGGCGAGTATTATGGAGCCCTACTTTTTGCTGTTCATAAGTGTACAATGGGCTATTTGTTTATATATTATGTATATATATAAATAGTACCAAGCTTCATAAGTTACAGTATACCTGTAGTCAACGCCTTTTTTGGCAGATCTAACTAACTTAAATTATTATTAAACAACCTGAAAATGATTACGCTATGATTATGCTAAGCCACAAACAATTACCTTAATTAATTATGGGTTCCTTGATTCTATACTCTATTCGCGCTACTTTTTAAGTCTGGGCGTCAGATTTCTGTATCTGTTACATGACCATTTACCAATCTAATAGGCAAGTAGGTGATCAGCCTACTGTGCCTGACACACGCCATCGACTTTTTGAGTCTAAGGCAAGCCGGTTTCCTCACGATGTTTTCCTTCACCGTTCGAGCGAATGTTAAATGCGCACATAGAATGAAATTCCATTGGTGCACAACTGGGGATCGAACCTACGACCTCGGGGATGAGAGTGGCACGCTGAAGCCACTAGGCCAACACTGCTCTTGTCTATAGTCTATTAGATGTAGATTAATCTGTTTATTTCATTGTACTTTGTAAAATAATGCAACAGAAACCGGAAACCAATTAAAGCCTTTATGTCTGTGCATTATAAATAATCATCAACAGCCATTTGTTTGGTCCATTTCTGGACTTAGGCCTCCTCCATTTTCCATGTACGCCCACTGGCCTCTTTGTATCTACTGAGAGCCATCCACGATGTCGTCAGTCCATCTAGTCGGTGGTCGGCCGCGCGGTATTTTATCTTCATTAGAGGAGCATGCGGGTCCATCGGTGTGGTGTCTGTGTATAATATCTTTCACGTATATGTCAACTTCAATTTACTGAAATTGTTTTTTAAGATTTTCACATTTACAATCCTCTTCTTTCCTCATCTACGAACAGCGATAAGTTTGTAGGCAAACTTAGTGGGCGGGTGTCAACGACCTGCCAATTCTACATTCAAATATTTGAATAAAGAATGGACCGTTGCCTAATTCTTTGTTAATTTAGGGCGTCTACAAGCACTTAATAGGCGTACAACGTTAAGTCAGTTGGGAAGCCAGGTTGGGCGAGTTCCACACAAGTGTTCTTATTTCAAATTTTTTGAGTAAAGATTTGCATCTTCCCTCTGTTTATAGCGGGTCTACGTTCTAAATAGTACGAAGATTACAAGAGAGATGAAAAACTCTCTCAAGTGGTAACATGTTTGAGCTTTCACACATAACAATAAATATTTAAAATTATGTACGACCAGTTTCCTAATTTTATAAATATTGCTAAACTGCTATCAAAATTGGCATTAAATTAAGTTTATTGTTTTATTATTAGAAATAGGTGCAGAATATTTTAAATCGATTCTCAGGTCAAGGATAAACTATCAATTGACATTTCTATGTTATACCATTCACGTGTATATAAAGAATGTTATCCATCAGAAGCTTTCTTACCAGCGGATTTGCTAGCGTAGTAACAATTTGATATTTTTCTGCGAGAATTTAAACGGGCCATTGACAGCTATTTAAATTACGATTTATTTGGTTATGATACTGTGTGTGGTACAAGGTGCCATGCCCCCCCCTTGTCTAAAAGGCCTCCCGTATGTAAGGGTGCGTCCACATTTGGCGAATATGCCGCGAATGCGTGCAACCTAAGCGCCATACGCGATCAGCGCGCGGGCGGCGCGCTAGCGGCTCGCGTCTTCCTAAGTACTGAGCCCGTGAACGGAACTGTAAGCGCGAGAACTGAGTGCGCGCAGATCGCGCGCCTTAGGCTGCTGCCTCGAGTTTTGCAGCAGCCCCGGCAGCGGGGCGGCGGCGGCTGCGGCGCGGGAGCGGGCGATTGCACCTCTCGTTACCCGCCCTCGCACCGCTGCCACGCCGCTGTTTTCGAGAACCGGTCCATTTGATTTTACGCATAAGATCCTGCCGCTCCCGCGCCACCGCCGCCGCCTCCCCGCTGCAGCCTTATACGAGCCTTGCATGAGTTGCTCTAAAGAGGCGCACATAACTATTGCCGTGACTGCACGCGCGCAGTTCGCAAACGGATCGCGAGCTGCACATTCGCGGCGCATTCGCCAGATGTTGACGCACCCTAACATACATATTACTTTATATTAAAAATTTAATTGTTCACTTAAGAGACTTAAATGATAGGTTTTAGGTAGAAATCACTAGGAAATTGTTAACGAAATACCTACAGTAAGTTTTCAGATTATATAATGAAAAACCTCGAGTCCAATTTTCCCCTTATGGGGCGTGGGCCTCACGTTAGCAAACACTGCATTAGAGTGTAAGGACAAGTAAGGTGATTCTCGTAAGTCAAAATCTCATTCAATTTTGATATACGAAAGTCATACTCGTACAGTTGAAAATGTAGCAGTCGATTAGTAATATAACTTTTAGAACTTTACCGCGGTTACATTATCTAGGCATAGTTGTAAGGAACTTAAAAAATATAACAGTACAGATTCGATGGGAAGTAAAAATTCCTATAAAAGGACTATTTATCGGGATCCAAAGTTTTAAGTTAAAGTTACACTTTTAAGTTATAATATGTTATAGCATGGAATGAAGACTTGCCTTTATACAGATACGATAAGCTATGATAATTTATTTTATTATGATTCTTCTATGACAATCGCTAAGCTACTAAGTGTTTGGGGTTTTTTTTTTGGCGGAAATAAATTACTGATGTATTTTGCAAAATATTTTTGCTATATTTCTTTTGAAATAAAATATTGCAACGACGTTAATTGGTATATTAAGTTTCTTTTCAAATTCAAACTCAAAATATCTTTATTCATGTAGGTAAACAAGTACACTTATGAACGTCAAAAAAAAGTTAAATTAATTGTAAGTCAACTTTTTAAGCCACTCTTATAAATCGCTAAGTTTTGAGTCATACAAATTGTTTAAACTGGAGCAAACTTTTATTTTTCGTTAAGCAGTGTTGGCCCTGTGCTTAAGCGTTCGAGTCCCATCCCTAATTTCGTAGGTTTAATCCTCGGATGCACCAATGGACTTCCTGCCTACGTGCGCATTTAACATTCGCTCGAACGGTAAAGGAAAACATCGTGAGGAAACCGGATTGCCTAAGATTCAAAAAGTCCACTGGTGTTAGGCAAAGAAGGCTGATGACCTACTTGCCTATAAAATTGACAAATTATCACGAAACAGATACATCAATCTGAGGTCCAGACCTAAAAAGGTTGTAGTTGTAGGCCACTGATTTATGTAATATTTTAGGTTAATTATTAGTTTTGTTTCTGGACAAAAATTAGAAATAAATTAAGTCTTATGAACGTAACATAAAGTAGCCATTTGGCAATCATTTTGTATTGGATGTTTACAAATGCATATCAAGAAAAATATTTTACGCTAATTTCCAAAATATTTGGCAAAAGTATACTTACATTGTGACCAAAAAGCTATGAATACAATCGCCGTCAGGGCCAAAACTTTTCCTCTCGTTTCCAAAGCTTCCATTTTGATAGATTTAGTCTTTTTGCACACACTTAAAACATCAACACACCAGATTAACTGGATTAAGCCATTACGAAAACACTTAAACACAAACACTGGTTACTCCACGGCACCTGAAACAAGAAAAAGAAGTTGAGAAATTGATTTTGATTGTGTCATATAAATGTGCGACTGTTATATGTTCAATTTACATTTATTTAGTTATTATTTTTTAAGGTTAGTTATTGTTTTTTGTTATAATTGCAATTGATTTAAACAACTATGACATATTTAATTTAAAAAAATATCAAGCCGTGACAGGACTTGACGCTAGTAATCCTATATTTACATTCGTCTTGTTTTAAAAAACATAAAACAAAATTGGTTGCTTGATCGTCATTTGTTATGATAAAAAAAAGAGCGCGTGTACTTATTATGTACGCGCGTAAGAAGTTATACTTCTTTGGCATTATTAAAAATAGATTTTGATTGCATGCAAATAATTAATTACAATTAAATAATCAAAGACTGGAAAAGGAGTCATTATAGTCAATAAAGTTCATTTTACATTTGAAAAATTAAATAAATATTTATTATTATTCTCTTACATTAAGTGTAACATAAATTCTATTATTATTCGAATGTTGTTTTTAAATTATGTCCAATGCCGTAGCATCTTCCGTGGGCAACTTCATTCTGATAATTTTGTGTCACGGTGCGCGCGCATCGTAAAATTTCACTCTTATCAATTTTTCATGACGCGCCTAAAGAAGTATTACTTCAAAAATTTCTAATGTAAGAAAGTCTTCTGAGTCTGATATATTAATTTTTATATAGAACGCACAGTTTCCTCTCTACTTTTTAACTTCACAGTAAGGAAGAAATGTGCTCTTTGTTAAATAATAACTATATGGACTTATGCTTGAATAAATAAATTATTATAATCATTATTGGATTTCAAACGCACGAACTTAGGGATGAGAAAGCAAAGCACCACACTCTTTTGTGTCTAAATAGTTTTGAAAGGAAACTTTTCCCATTGATCAAGAATGTTACGTTTTGTTTAGACCATGCAATTCATTTATTGCGTCGATATAATTGTATGCTACTGAAAATTGGCTCGCTTTCAGTGTTTCATTGTGAACGATGCGACAAAATATAATCGCAAAATGAATTGGTTTCACTATTCAGAATAGACTAAAATAAAATAATTTCTTGTTGAAATTTTTGAAAGCGACAATAAATGATACAAAGTATTTAGGTTATAGAAAGTCTAGCCATGAGGAGAAATCTAGATTTTAGACGTAAACACCTTGACTTAAACACTAGTCACTTAAATTTATATTCACATTTAAATTGGTCATTGTTGTATCTACTCTATGTTAACATGTCTATTTTTGTTGGAGGGAAATATTTTTGTGGGAGGGAAACGAGCAGGCAGTACTTAAAGTAAGGCGTTTGCCGTCCTACGCCGTAACGGTAAATTTTTCAGAATTTATTTTAAAGGATTTTGTGGAAATGATATGTCTTTAACTGCATAAATTGTAAGGTTCTCGTTGCTTTATTACGGTCTTATTTATAATATAAATAATGTTTTATCATAGGTATATAACGAGAGAAGTGTTAGCCTAGTGGCTTCAGTATTAAACTCTCATCCCTGAGGTCGTTGGTACGATCCCCGGCTGTGCACCAATAGACTTTCTGTCGATGTGCGCATTTAAGATTCGTTTGAACGGCGAAGGAAAATATCGTGAGGATCACCGGCTTGGCTTAAACACAAAAAGTCGACGGAGTGGCAGGCACAGGAGACTGATCACCTACTTGAATAGCCAATATTATATTGAATCTGAGGCCTAGGCCTAAAAGGTTGTAGCGCCTCTGGTATATTTGTCGATTTTTTTTATTTTTCCTGAGCGATAAAGATATACATTTTCTACCCTAAGTTCTTTTTAAAGTACGAGGATGTATGAACCTATAGAAATGTCTAGAATTAAATCGCACAAACTAAGAATTGTCCGTCACAGACATCAGTCTAGCCAGTGTCTTTGAACTTGACGTTGGCGGCCGTGACGAATTCGCTAATGTTTTACGAGAATTATGGCAAAACAATTTAGTTCCACTTTTATATTGTTTTTACGATATGGTGGTGTATTAAAAATCACCTGTTATTGAGCAATAATGAATTCGATACGGGTTTTGAAAAACTTCTCATTTTCTTGTAAGATTACATTCTTAATATTTAAAATGACATATTCCAAATACAAAATATTGCTTGCCGCTGAAATGAAAAAAGCAATTAATGTAATTTTATGATTATCTAATTACATTAATTGCTCATTCGGTAAGGACCTAGCTAGGGTCTTGCGAGCCTTCGGGTGTCTGTCCGGTGAGCCTCCTGCACGTTTGCCCACTGTTTTATACAATGAAAAACGTAATTTTTATTTATAATAGATTCGCGTGTATCATTGTTTCTATTGTTGAGCTTAAAGCTCGTTATCTCGCCTGTTCCATATTAACATCTTTGATTTTTTTGGAGATCTACAATACGTGGAGGTTTGCAAGTATGTTGCCGGCCTTTAAGTATGCTCTTCTCTTAAGTCGTAACAATATTTGTTATGATTAAAAGTACCAAAATAAATATTAATTTATTATATAAGAATTCTTGATGATAATTCATTCAAAATCCCCCATCTAATGATAGATCTTGAAGCTAATAATATCTGATCTAATGATAGACGCATCTGGAATGCGAGACCGCAGGCCACGCGCGACTGACCAAGTTCGACGGCTTTTGAGCTTCTCGTTTTGTTTTAAACCAATGAACTTCAATGTTATTTAATTCATTAATAATAATTAACTAGTTAATTCAAACTCAAAAATCATATAATCATATAGGTAACACATTGTACACTTATGATCGTCAAAAAAAAGAAATGTATATGAAATGCGTCTAACTTTACATTTAGTGTTAGTTCTCAAATCAAGGGCGTAGAACGGAAGAGAAGAACTGGCAATAAACTCTCCGCCACTCTTTTTAATCGCCATGTTTTTTTTACACAACGTTTGTAAGGAGCTGCAACCATTACACCATGTTCCACATGACATCTTAAGTAATTAATTTATAATAATTCATTATAACAATGCATTATAGTGTAAGATTTGGGATCCATTTTAAGTAAAAAATATCTGTCTCTGTTCTTCAATACGTAATAGTTAATTCCATATCAAAGTTAATATTCTTTTTTTAGCAATTACAATTTTGAATTTTTTGAAGTTAAACTTCTTTTGGTGCGTTAAGGAAAAATTATAAGAGTAAAATCTTACGATGCGCGCACACCGTCACATAAAACCGACACCCTGAATATCTGTTCAAACGTCGGTAAAACAGTCTGGGCCGGTAGTTGGCGCTTGCTCTGTTTTATCGACAAGTTGCATTGTCTGTCATGGCGTAGTGTTATTCAGAGTCGTGTTTATTTAAACCAAAATAATGATATCTATACGAGAAAACCCGTTCCAATGTGATTACAAACATAGTGTTCATTGTAAAATATCATGATTAGTACATATTATATCGTTTCGATTGGAAGTGACAGTTAAAATGGACAAGAAAACTGCAATTCGCGGAGGAGAACGAAAATTATTACTTCTAACGCGTGTATATAAGTACACACACGTTTTTTTTAACTGTATACAACAACTTCTTAATTTAAAATAATAATCCAATGGTATGCCATCTCATCTTTGTCTCAGGCGCATCTGTTAGTTTGATAATTTTTTACTATAGGTTCCTGACACATGTTGTTGATTTTTGGGTCTAAGACACGTGTTTACACATAATGCCCTCATCGGACGAGGAAGTATTAATTGCGCTCATGTAACGTAAACTCCACCAATCCATTTACTTTCGCTAATTCAGCTAAATTAATTCTTTTCTACATATAACTAAGGTTGGTACGTTTATAACATATGTGGTGTGTGATACCCATTCTTGTCTTTATTAAAAAAAGAAACACCTACAGAGGTTAAAGTATAAGAAGTGATTTATGTATGTTTTTAGTAAAAATATAAGAGATGGAAAAAGTCCACTAATGGGTCCATAATTTTTTACTCGTTAAGAATATTACACCTTTATTATTTAAAAATTATATACATATTTATACAAAGTATATGTGTTACATAGTTATAACGTAGTAACGAATAGTAAAAACAAAATGTGTGCTCTTCCTATCTAAGGCACTTGAAATACCTCTATTACAGTGATTTAGGCACCAAGTAGGTACCTGTCTAGATAATTCAAAAACTATCCATATAAGGAACTATTTGAGGACCGTATCAAGCAACTCAAAAGGTTTTGTTTTGCTTAGCAAACAATTTCGATTTTTACCTGATAGAGTAGTCGTTTATGGTTTACCCAGCTTTTAAATGATTGTCTCTGGTCATTCAATTTGCATATACTAATATTGTTCTATATGTGGAGGCGATTAATAAAAACATCTATAGAATTTTATAATAATTTCTCTTAAAACTTTGATCTGGAGAACGTCAGGATCTATCAAAAATGTATCAATTAAACATACAAAACAGTGTCTTATTCGGAACTTAATTTTATGTTATAACATACTGTTTATCTATCATTGCGAAGACTACACGCACTCTAGAAGTATTAGTGAATTAGCACACAATAGTTTTATCATAATGTTCATAGCTACGTTCAAAAGACCGCACGGCATTCAATAATGATACCATATCAATCTATTTTCTATACAAGCGATCTTGTGATCTAAAATAATCAAACTGTACTGTGTGTGTACTCAGCATAGCTTCCTAATTACTATAACGCATATTAACTATAACATATAGTTCCCGTTTATTTCCATTAGGGTAATGTTTGGTTGCCGCCATAAATCACAAAAAACCCACTTTCCACAAATTAATTTAATTAAAATATAAACTTATAAATTAATTACAAAGTGTGGTAAGGATGTTGCTTTCTTCATTTATTATGACTATTCTAAGTGACTTAG